CCTCCGGCATTTTCCCTGCACTCTGGGGGGCATTAAGAGGAGCGTGGCCAGCAGGGAGAGGGAGGTTCTCCTCCCCCTCTACTCTGCCCTGGTGAGACCTCACCTGGAGCACTGGGTCCAGCTCTGAGCTCCCCAGTTCAAGAAGGATGAGGAACTCCTAGAAAGAGTCCAGAGGAGAGCAACAAGGATGATAAAGGGACTGGAGCATCTCCCCTAGGAGGAAAGGCTGAGGGAGCTGGGCTTGTTCAGCCTGAAGAAGAGAAGACTGAGGGGGGACCTCATCAACACGTACAAATATCTTAAGGGCAGAAGTCACGAGGACGGAACCAGTCTCTTTACAGTGGTGTCCAGTGACAGGACAAGGGGCAATGGGTAAAAACTGAAACATAAGAGATTTCAGTTGAATATGAGGAAAAACTTCTTGACTTTGAGGGTGCTCGAGCCCTGGCCCAGGCTGCCCAGGGGGGCTGTGGAGTCTCCTTCTCTGGAGATATTCAAAGCCTGCCTGGATGAAGTCCTGTGCAACATGCTCTAGGAGAACCTGCTTGAGCAGGGGGGTTGGACTGGGTGAGCTCCCGAGGTCCCTTCCAACCCCTGCCATTCTGTGTCTGTGTGATTCTAACCCCATGCCTGGGCCAGTTCTGCAAACCCTGTATTTATGGGGCTGCCAGGCACAATAAAGCATTTTTCCAATATTTAATTTCTCAGATGTCCTCATCTCATGCATCACTGCTACTTTTATGCATCCATAAATAAATATTTAGCACTGCTCCCTCGGCCCGGTGCGACGAGTTGAGCCAGCATGGTTCTATCCATGCTCGCCAAGAAGAAATGGGTGTCCAGCTCTCTCAGCCTTCCTAGATGCTTCCAAACCCAGCAGAGACAGGACCTACAGCTGCTTGAGGACACCAAGCACATCTGCAAAGGTGCACGGATGCTAGCAAAAGGGCTGGCTCCCCCCACCCTGGCGAGCTATCGGGACTCCCCCCGTCCACGAAGGACGCTTGCTCCAGACGGGCTGTAGCTCTGAGATTAGGACGCACCCCCGTGCTTGATCCAGAAAAGGGGCCAGCAAGAAACCCAAACTGGCCAGACCAAAGAGCTGGTGATAGCAAAAGGGGCTGAACCACGCCTGTGCCACATCACGAGGGCTTCCTCCTCCCTGGCAGGACGGGGAGAGCAGCACAGGGGGGTGGGGGGCACTGCCCGGACCCTGCCTTGCTCCGCTCGCAGCCCCTCGCCTCTGCTCCCGCGGGGCGTCGGGGAGGAGGCTTGCCCGCACCAGGAGCGTGTGCGCAGGCATGGTCAGAGCCCAAAACTGCCACCAGCGAGGCAGAGCCCCACTCTCCTCCCCCGGCCCCTAAGTGAGCAGGGCAGCTTTGTGTCCCGCTCCCAGCCCTCCGCAGAGCAAACAACAAAAGCGCTCTTGCCTCCCGGCCACAACCCCGCCAAGGGATGCTGCAAACAAACAGAAATCAAACCTCTCATCGCAGATGCTGCAAGAACAAGGAGAGGGGAGGAGGTACCCTTCAAATCCT